ACTCGATGGCACCTGACAACAACAACAAGGAAAAGAAGAGAGACTAGGATACTTGCTTGTGAAGTATTTTTGTAAATCTTCACAGCAGAGTGATGTAATGTCACAATGCGGACAGTAACGTTTCAAGAGTGAGTTGAAGGCAGTGTGGGTAAGTCGTTGAGGATGACGTCATGGGTGTCATGCCAGGGCAGTGGGACTGAAGAGAGGTGAGCCTGAGGAAGCAGATAACACAAGGTTCAGGAGGGTCAAGGCATTCTGGGCCAGAAGCTCAGTCACCAAGGGATTCAAGAAGCCAAAATGTGATCATCAGAGGGCAGAAAAGCTAGAGCATCCCAACAATCAATGAAATTCTCCCCATGGTGAAAGCTAATAAAGGCAAGTTAACTCTATGATAATTGGTTATAAACAGGCAGTCAATTGAAAAGATGTTTCCTTGGTGGTGTGACCTGCTTCCAATATAATGGACACTCAGGAAAAGCTTGCTCTCTCTTCACTGGGGACCTGGGAGTCTACAATCGTGGGCCATTTCCTTGATACAAACTTCTCTTTACAGATACATATACAAATTTTACTGGTTTTGCTTCTCTAGAGAACCCAGCCTAAGATACCAGTTCATTTTCATAGACTGGGAATCAAGTCCCATACTCCCCTGGTACTATTACTCACAGACAGAGGTAGGGGGACTGCATAGAACGCGAAGGTAACATATTGGTGCTTTTTGAGAAATAAGTCAGGCTGAGTCTGGAGCAGAATTGTTTACATTTCATTTTACTGATGCCTTCCTGAGAGGAAGTTGATGGGGATTCAAGTTTATCTGATGGGTGGACTAGGTAGCAGCTAATAGGTAGTTATTTTGGTTATATTATTATTATGTTTCAGTCTCTTAACATTTCCTAGAGTTTCACTAAATTCCTAAAAATTTCTCCTGTGGCCAAGTGATGTACTGATCAATCAGCCAGCTGTGCTACTTCTTCTGTGTGGCAGGGTTTTTACCAAAGAGAAGACTGCAGGGGATGTTCTGCCCAATCCGAGGAGGCTTCTTCATCCTTCAACTTCACGATGAACTCTTATACGAAGTGGCAGAAGATGATGTTGTTCAGGTATTTTTACAGTGTGTGTGTATGCATCATTCTATCAGAAGCTAAGATGTTGAAAGCCAGGCAAACAGCTTTTTCCCATGATTGAGACTTCTAGAAACCTGCTCCAGCCCAAGGATGGTGAATATGAAATGTTGAGTCTTTGCAGTTAGAGAGCAGCTCACCGTGGTTCGCCCCACGCTCATTCTTAAACAAAACAAAATTCCCGATGCCAGAGATGGTTTTGGTCTGGGAGAAGTTACATTTGAATTTGGAATCTTGATCTAAGAGTTTCAAAGCTCCAAACATTCTAGCTAAAATTATAAGAACTTCTGCCTGGCAATAATGACCAGTTTGGAATGCCTAACTCTTCTGATTTTAAGCCCTGTTAAGTGATGAGCACCAGTCTGTTTATCACCTTCTCAGTGGGTGGATTGGGAGCATTCTTCTTTGATTGGACAGCATGTTAATATTATCAGTGTTGTTTTGCAGGTAGCTCAGATTGTCAAGACAGAAATGGAACGTGCCATTAAGCTTTCTGTGAAGCTGAAAGTGAAAGTGAAAATTGGTGCCAGCTGGGGTGAGCTGAAGGACTTCGATGTGTAATTGTGCCTCCAGCAAGTCTCCCCAGGGAAGCTGGTAGGGTCCAGCCACATGGAAAAGCAAGAGCCTTAATGCACTTAGTGAAAACAGAAGCCATCAAATCTTGATAAATTTAGGGCGTTAATTTTGAAATGATGACTTCTAAATGTGTACCAAAGTTTACTCTGTAGTGTAAAGAAACTACTTCTTTGTTTTCTTTTGAGGCAAATAACAAGTTTAATGTTTACACTCACTCTGAAAGAGTAGCTATGAAGTTGCCTTTAAACAGGTTCAGAAAACATACTTGAAGTATGCACTTAGCACTTTCGGGCCTCATGCATCTGGGTTGAGCATGAAGAAACTGGAGCCGCTGCCCCAGGAGCATTTCAGGCCCACTTCTGTCTCTTTTCCAGGAGTCAGACCCTGAACTCTAGACCCCAACAGGGTCCATAGGCTGCATGGGTGGTTTTACTTGTGCCCCTAGCATCAGGCATTGTGTGATTTTTCTCCAGTGTCAATTTAGACGACAGACGTAGCACTGGCTAGTTAATTATGAATTCTATGAAATGGTGAGACTCAGAATGCATGTTCAAGAAATGCTGTTTCTTTTTACCCGTCTGTTTTTCATTAAGGCAGTGAATGTACTTGGAATACTTAGGGATTACAAAATAAGCTACACCTCTTCAAGAGCTATCCTGTAGGATCAGGTTTTTTTTATTGCAGTTTATTAGAATATGGCCAGAAAATGAAAGCACCCCTCCTCAGTCCTCAGTGACTCTTTCATGTTTGTGGCTTGATGATAATGCCCATGCTAAGAAGACTGAACTTTGTAAACCAAGTCCGAGGTGGAGAACTGACCTTTTTATTCTTGAAATAAAATTAATTTCTGAGAAACTTCACATTAGCAGCAGTTCAGTTTCTTTCTGTTTAGTGTGTTTGGTCTAAGAGTATCCGAAACCTATGCCCTCCTATTGACTTATTCTTCAGATTAAAAAAATGCCTACGTGCATAGAAAGTACTTATTCATAATCAGTTTTTAGAAGAACTCTTGTTTATTAATCAGAATAAACAAGAGACTTGATAAATCAAGTGTAAAACACTGTCACTTTTTGTTATGTTTCTTGATTTTGTTGGTGGTGGTGGTGGGCAGAAGGTAACAGATGGACGAGGGAATTTCTGTTATACCAGCTTGAGCTGATACCCTATTCACTTTGATCGTGTTTCTCTGAGGATGTGCACTACTAAGTATTCTGGGGCCTGAGGCCCAGCACAAGAGACAGCGCAGTAAACTGTGAGTATTCTCCAAATTTCAGGCCAGTGTACAGCTCATTTACACCTGTTTTTCTGCAGCTGGGACCCTGTGTGTGTAGCCATGTGCATTTACTTTCTGATCAGCTGGAATGAAAACAAGCTTTCCTCACTTTCCATTGCTCAGATGTGCACATGTCTATTACCTGGTTTCATTAAATAACACTAGTTCCCTAACAATACGGCAATTCTAATTTTAGTTGTCACGTGTGATGGTTAATTTGATGTGTCATCTTAGCTAGGCTATGGTGCCCAGTGTTTTGGTTTCTGAAGAGGGAGGCTGGAGGGCCAGAAACAGAGGCAGAGAGACAAGCTGTTGACTTTGATGATAGAAGAGGCCATGATCCAAGGAATACAGATGGCTTCTACAAGCAAAAAAATCAAGGAAACGGATGCTTCCTGCGCCTCAAGCAGGAACACAGTCCTGCTAACCCCTTGGTTTTAGCCTGGTAAGAAATTTTGGACTTCTGAACATAAAGGGGATTATAGAAAAATAGCTGACCATTGGAAGGTTTGCAATGAGATATTCTATAGTTACTTAAAGGAGCTCTGGTACTGTAGTGGTTACGAATCGGGCTGCAAACCGCAAGGTCAGCAGTTTGAAACTACCAGCTGTTCCATGGGTGAAAGATGAGGCTTTCTGCTCCCATAAAGATTTACAACCTTGGAAACCCTGTACAGGGTCGCTATGAGTCGGAACTGACTCCACGGCACATAACAACATAGTTAATTAAGTAACATAAATGAGGAAAATGGATGTGATGGTGATGAAAAGGATGAAGATGTGCCCAAAGATGTGATTTCAGCAAAAGCTCTCAATCTACTATCTATAATTTTACTGTATTATCAATCTATACATTTAACTGTCATTCTAATCAAAGTATCAATAGGGTTATTTTGAAAGAGATAAATGGCATCTTAAAATTACCCACATCCTATTATCCAGACCTTACAAGTTTCTTCCAAGACAGATTTATTTGTTCTTCTGGCAGTCTGTGGTGGTGCTTGTGTATCACTGAGTCAGTTCCGACCCATTGCAACCCTGTGAAGGGTGTCCGAAGCTGTAAATCTTTATGGGAACAGAAAGTTTCATCTTTCTCAGTCTGGAGGAAGCCCCACTGAAACCTGTTTAGCATGATAGCAGCAAGTAAGCCTTCTCTAAGAGTCTAGTGGAGGCTGCAGATAAGGTGAATTCATTGGGAATCGAACCCAGGTCTCCCACATGGAAGGCAAGCATTCTGCCACTGAGCTGCCATTGTCCCCAGGGCTTGAACTCTTATCTGCAGATATTATCAGTAGCTTCATACTAGAGTTGGGTAGGTCCTAATCCTGTCTGAGTGTCTTATGAAGGAGGAGAACATATGAAGGAAGACAGCTGCCAGATGAAGACACATCTACAAGCCAAGGGACACCAAGAAACACCTGGGGCTACCAGAAGCTAGAGGAGACAAGGGTTTTCCCTGGAGAAGACAGAGAAGCACACAGTCCTGCGATACCCTAAATTTAGACTTCCGGCATCCACAACTGTAAGTTTCTATTAAGAGCCTACTCACTTTGTGGTATTTTGTTATGGCAGACCTAGGATGCTATCAAACTATAAAGGAAGCAAAGGTAACTATCAGATAGTAAGGTATATTTGTTGTTGTGAAGTGCTGTCAAGTCGGTTCCAACCCATAGTGACCCTGTATACAGTTTCCAAGGAGCGGCTGGTGAGTTTGAACCATTGACCTTGCAGTTTCAAACTAACCTTGTGGCAGAGTGCTTATCCTATAGCACCACGTTATAAAGCTATAATTTTAAAGTTTGATGAGTGAATAGATATATGCAAATAGATTTCTGGAACAAACTAAAGATTTTTTAAAACAAACTTGTACATATATAGGAAATGATAAAAAATATTTCAAATTAGTGAAGAAAGGATGAGTCAAAAAATAGGGGTCTAAAGATAGGAGTCCTGGTGTGGTGCTGAGAGATAAAGCACTGGGACATAAGGTCAGTTTGAGCCACAAGGTTGTTGTTGTTGTTAAGTGCCGTCGAGTCAGTTCCAACCCATAGCAAACCTGAACAGGGTTTCCGAGGCTGTAAATCTTAACGGGAGCAGAAAGCCTCATCTTTCTCCTGTGGAGCAGCTGGTAGTTTCGAACTACTAACCTTGCAGTTCACAGCCCGATTCATAACCACTACGCTACCACAAGGTAGGCAACAGCAACTAAGAGAGGCTATCCATTTGTAAAAATACCAAGTTAGAGTCTAGCTCTAATTTCCATTAAAACCTCCAAATGGATTAAAAGCCTAGGTATAAAAAAATAAAATTATGAAAATAAAGAAGCTATGATTATATTTTATGACTGTATAGAATTAAAAACCTTTACAACAAAGTTCAAAAGTCCTAAAAGTAAATGATTGAAAAATTTGACTACTTAAAAGAAAAAAACTTCGTATGAAAAAGTGACATTATCAGTTCAGCTGAATCGTGGCGGACACTGAGTAACAATGCTGGAAGAGGAGATGTAAAGATACTGTCATTTATTTTTTTTCTTAAATGTTTTATTGTGAATTATGTGATAGTTTACATGGGAGAACAT